TGTAACCCGGATCTTCACAGTGGACAAGGATTGGTTGCTGAAGACCAGTTGTCACCCGGATCTTCACAGGGGACAAGGATGGGTTGCTGAAGACCAGTTGTAACCCGGATCTTCACACGGCACAAGGATGGGTTGCTGAATACCAGTTGTAACCCGGATCTTCACAGGGGACAAGCATGGGTTGCTGAAGACCAGTTGTAACCCGGATCTTCACACGGCACAAGGATGGGTTGCTGAATACCAGTTGTAACCCGGATCTTCACACGGCACAAGGATGGGTTGCTGAAGACCAGTTGTAACCCGGATCTTCACAGGGGACAAGGATGGGTTGCTGAAGACCAGTTGTAACCCGGATCTTCACAGGGGACAAGCATGGGTTGCTGAAGACCAGTTGTAACCCGGATCTTCACAGTGGACAAGGGTGGGTTGCTGAAAACCAGTTGTAACCCGGATCTTCACAGTGGACAAGGATGGGTTGCTGAAGACCAGTTGTAACCCGGATCTTCACAGGGGACAAGCATGGGTTGCTGAAGACCAGTTGTAACCCGGATCTTCACAGTGGACAAGCATGGGTTGCTGAAGACCAGTTGTAACCCGGATCTTCACAGTGGACAAGGATTGGTTGCTGAAGACCAGTTGTCACCCGGATCTTCACAGGGGACAAGGATGGGTTGCTGAAGACCAGTTGTAACCCGGATCTTCACAGTGGACAAGCATGGGTTGCTGAAGACCAGTTGTAACCCGGATCTTCACAGTGGACAAGGGTGGGTTGCTGAAGACCAGTTGTAACCCGGATCTTCACAGTGGACAAGGATGGGTTGCTGAAGACCAGTTGTAACCCGGATCTTCACAGTGGACAAGGGTGGGTTGCTGAAAACCAGTTGTAACCCGGATCTTCACAGTGGACAAGGATTGGTTGCTGAAGACCAGTTGTCACCCGGATCTTCACAGGGGACAAGGATGGGTTGCTGAAGACCAGTTGTAACCCGGATCTTCACAGGGGACAAGGATGGGTTGCTGAAGACCAGTTGTAACCCGGATCTTCACAGTGGACAAGGATGGGTTGCTGAAGACCAGTTGTAACCCGGATCTTCACAGTGGACAAGGTAGGGTTGCTGAAGACCAGTTGTAACCCGGATCTTCACAGTGGACAAGGGTGGGTTGCTGAAAACCAGTTGTAACCCGGATCTTCACAGTGGACAAGCATGGGTTGCTGAAGACCAGTTGTAACCCGGATCTTCACAGTGGACAAGGGTGGTTTGCTGAAGACCAGTTGTAACCTGGATCTTCACAGTGGACAAGGGTGGGTTGCTGAAATACAATTCTAACACGTCTCTTCGCAATGGACAAGCATTTGTTTCTGAAGACCAGTTGTAACCCGGATCTTCACAGTGGACAAGCATGGGTTGCTGAAGACCAGTTGTAACCCGGATCTTCACAGTGGACAAGGGTGGGTTGCTGAAATACAATTCTAACACGTCTCTTCGCAATGGACAAGCATTTGTTTCTGAAGACCAATTGTAACCCGGAATTCACATGGGACAAGGGTGGGTTGCTGAAGACCAGTTGTAACCCGGATCTTCACAATGGACAAGCATGGGTTGCTGAAGACCAGTTGTAAGCTGGGTTTTCACGGGGAACAAACATGGGTTGACGGCGACCAGTTGTTGCCCAGAATTGTACACCTTGGGACTGACACCGAGAGATGAGGTATACAAACTTTCTCTTTTTAGCTTGTTAGTGACGATTTTGTGCATATGTTACAAATCTTGTTTTGGTGAATGTTTTATGTGACATTTGGATTTGGCGTGCAACCACCTAAGGACTCAAGTGATGTGGCGTCACATTCAAGTCATTGGTACCATGATATCAGCCATCTTTTATAGCAAAATAGCACCAGGCTAATCAGTTAGCTTGCTTCTTTAACCAGCAATACCAATATTTCTTTCTTCCGTTCTTTTCATCCAACTTTCCTCCAGATTAAGCTGACACGTAGTGCTGTACCTAACGGCGCTGACCAAAGCTCTGTTCATCCACCTCGGCTGGTGCAACCCAGATGTTCATGTATTCGCTGCGAATCAGATTCGGGTTTAATTGTTATTGGGTAATATTTACTTCTAGTTCTTGGTGGAATTGACGGTTGCTACCCTGTCGCTATGAGGCGCTTTATTTACTTCCTTCATCAACCCTGGCGATGAGGCAACACCGGGTGTCCGCAGGTGACGATCCTTGGAAATCAAGCCCCCAAAAAACTATGAAGAACAAGCAGCATATTGTCTCTGCCCAAACCAGCAGGGTTACTGAGAATGGCGCGATGAAGCCCATGATGTTCTTATAACAACACAAACTAACGGCATTAGGAGCAGGACCATTGCATGGTACCATACAAGAATAACAGGAATTGACTTGACATGTGTTAAGGTGATGGCCCAGACGTTCCTTCTCGTAACGGTGCCGTATGGACCAATCTTCACCAATCAGACAGGCACCGTCTGGTCGACTTCTCTGCTGCCATCGTTTATTGCATGTAATTCAAGTTGGACAATCTATTTTAATCTCGCAATAACTGGTTACCGCCATCAATGGTTCCCAACCAATACAGATCTCTAATCAGACAGTCTGGATCTAGATCTGTCCGAACATTGTGTGCATTGTGAAACTCTCGTCCCCCTTACCGGCCACTACTCCCATAAAGGTCTGCTGTCTCCAGCTCCAGCATGCCACATCATTATAGCTGATATCAAAAGAATTAAAGGAGCACTGAAAGATATACAATGAGTGAGTGAGTGAGTTTAGTTTTACGCCGCACTCCGCAATATTCCAGCTATATGGCTGCGGTCTGTAAATAATCGAGTCTGGGCCAGACAATCCAGTGATCAACAGCATGAGCATCGATCTACGCAACTGGGAACCGATGACATGTGTCAGCCAAGTCAGCAAGCCCGACCAGCCGATCCCGTTAGTTGCCCCCAACGAGAACCATATGGGTTGCTGAAAAACAATTCTAACCCAGATCTTCACGGGTCGAAATATACAAAACAAGGGTTCACTTTATAATCGTCTGAAGATTACGTGTGACATGTGTATCTGATTATTAGTATTTCATCCCATATGTAGTATTTATTTGCAGAGCACCGTATCTGTAGTTGATCGGATAGTGTCTGCCCGGGGAGCGGAAGATCGGTTGTACGAACCCGAGTCACGTCTTTTCAGACATTAAAACATTATACCTATACCCTCCTTGGTGCGCGACAAAACGGGGCCAGAACAAGGCCTACGGAAATTTCAAGGACCTCAAGAACCTACCGATTAAAACCAGTGCTTTGTATCTCAGTAGGCTTACACTGTAAAACCAGCTTTAGTTCCGCCAAGTAGAAGCAAACGTACACGAACGCACGCGCGCGCACACACCGGCAAGCACGTGCACCAGCGCAATAATCTTAAACGCGACGTTAGCTGCCACTTAACCCATTGCAGTTCCAGTTGTACATTTCAGTAGTGTTTCAGGATGGGTTTAATTAAGGTCGCCGTGCACAAACACGTAAGACTTGCTGTACACGAGATGGTGACGTAAATGTGGATCGTGTAGCAACAATGACTGATTAGAATGGATTGCCATTGATGGCATGAACTTCAGTGACAAAGGTTTTGCGGAAATGCTATCTTTATTACATCAAAAATATTTTTTGTACATGTATTACGTCAACAAATATGTCTGTATTACGTCTTTGATAATGCCTGTATTACGTCAACAAAGATGTCTGTACATGTATTACGTCAACAAATATGTCTGTATTACGTCTTTGATAATGCCTGTATTACGTCAACAAAGATGTCTGTATAACGTCAACAATGGTTTCTGTATTACGTCAACAAATATGTCTGTATTACGTCTTTGATAATGCCTGTATTACGTCAACAAAGATGTCTGTATTACGTCTTTGATAATGCCTGCATTACGTCAACAAAGATGTATGTATTACGTCAACAAATATGTCTGTATTACGTCTTTGATAATGCCTGTATTACGTCAACAAAGATGTATGTATTACGTCAACAAATATGTCTGTATTGCGTCTTTTATAATGCCTGTATTACGTCAACAAAGATGTATGTATTACGTCAACAAATATGTCTGTATTACGTCATTGATAATGCCTGTATTACGTCAACAAAGATGTCTGTATTACTTCTTTGATAATGCCTGTATTACGTCAACAAAGATGTCTGTATAACGTCAACAATGGTTTCTGTATTACGTCAACAAAGATGTCTGTACATGTATTACGTCAACAAATATGTCTGTATTGCGTCAACAAAGATGTCTGTATTGCGTCAACAATGGTTTCTGTATTACGACAACAAAGATGTCTGTATTGCGTCTTTGATAATGCCTGTATAACGTCAACAAAGATGTATGTATTACGTCAACAAAGATGTCTGTATTACGTCAACAATGGTTTCTGTATTACGACAACAAAGATGTCTGTATTGCGTCTTGGATAATGTCTGTATTACGTCAACAAAGATGTATGTATTACGACAACAAATATGTCTGTATTACGTCTTTGATAATGTCTGTATTACGTCAACAAATATGTCTGTATTACATCAAAACGGAAATGTCTGTATTACGTCAGCAATGATGTCTCTATTACGTCAACAATGGTTTCTATATTACATTCGATGTTTGTTAAATGGCAATCAGTAAATATAAAGTTTGTTGGATACTCATGCGAAATATTGTTTTTCTTACCTAGGCGTCAGAATCAAATGACACTTCTAATGCATCTTTGGTACTGTTCAAAGCTGATTAGTCAATAGCTATACTATTTATTTACACCAAAGACACTCGTAATGATGTACGTTTAATGCAATTTACAAGTTCGGTAAATCACGTATATCACTATCTTTTGCAGCAGAAAACGAAGCTTCTCGTTGTTAGGACAAACCGAGATGTGTCGGCGCCAGTGATTGGCTGTAAGCATTTGACCTTTCCAACATGGCAGCCTCCATAAGATCATGTGTGTATCGGCAGACCCGGTCGATCTTGTCGTTAAAACAATGTCGCCACAGCACCGTGAGGCTGTATAGTCAGCAGTTGAGACAAACAACACAGGCAAAACATATCTGCACAGGTATGACAGTTTCATCCGTTTAAAAGACATCAGATATACAGTGTATCAAGCAAAACATGATGAAATGCATTAAAACTGATTATTTTGTATTTGATCTTGTCTTTGGGTGTTATGGTGTTTTGTAGTGCAGGCACGGACTTTAGATTCCACAGTGTATAGTTGTCAACGAATCAGCTTCGTGTCACTTCAATATCACCATCTTGTTGAGATGATTGCATTGTGACAACAGTGTAGCCGAGAGCCGCGACGGGGTCCCGCAGTCAAGACTAACAACAGACCAGAACAAAACACATGAAGTAAACTCGAAACAATGTAATCTACCAACGGCTTCAGTAAAAATGAAATGCAGTGATAGTCAGAAGTCTTTATGAAATTTTGCACATGCTATATGAGTCCAAACCCAAACCCCTGAACACCCAACCCCAATGTTTGTTCACCTCCTGATCATTACAATGCAATGCAATATATCTCAAAGCACAGAGTGAGTGAGTAAATATAGTCTTTTATGCTGTACTCAGCATTATTCGAACTATATCACAGGCTTAATTTATACTGCCCTGCAAATAATCTGGACAAGGCAAAACAGTGACTAAACACCAAAAGCCATGCTATTTATGTGTTCTGTTAACCATGCCTCAGATCCAAACAACCGGATCCATGTTGAAATTTACATCAGGCATTGGTTATTGGAGTCAACTTCTAACTCAGAGTCCCCATAGGAATGGCACAGATAAATCATCACACTCCTCTAACGGGTTCTGATGGAAAAGGGAGGTATGGTAGCCTTGTGGTTAAAGCATTCGCTCGTCACGCCGAAGACCCAGGTTTGATTCCCCACATGGGTACAACGTGTGGTGCCCATTTCTGGTGTCCCCTGCCATGATATTGCTGGAATATACTAAAAGCAGCTAAATATAAACTCGCTCTGATGGAAAGTGGTGGTGGGGTAACCTAGTGGTTATAGCGTTCTGTCATCCCGCTGAAGGCCAGGGTTTGATTCCCCAAATGTGTACAGTATGTGAAGCCTATTTCTTGTGGCTCCTGTCATGATGTTGCTGGAATGTTGCTACAAGTGGCGTAAAACTAAACTCGCTCGCTCTCTCACTCTGATGGAAAAGTGGTGGTGGGGTAACCTAGTAGTTAAGGCGTTCTCTCATTCTGCTGAAGGCCTGGGTTTAATTCCCCAAATGTGTACAGTATGCGAAACCTATTTCTTTTGACTCCTGCCATAATAATGCTGGAATATTGCTAAAAGCGATGTAAGACCAAACTCACAAACTCTTGTGGGAGAGGGGGTATGGGCACCAAAGGTTTGCGTGTTTCACCAAAGTACTAAATATCAGAAACCTGTATCACCTTGGGCTTTCTTCCCACATTAAGCTGACGCACTGTTATATAATTGGAATACTGTTCAAAGGGGACTTAACCTAACTCACTCTGTAAAATTGTGAATAGGTGCAAACAAATTTGAGAGGAGAGTGTCGGTTGAGGTAATTGTTTGCTACATCATATACATAGGAATGCATATAGGGACACAGTACAGACTACTTTTGGGGCTTAGGTGAGGTGAAATTGGGTTTTAACATCGTGCTTGAGAATATTTCGCTCATATGATGACGTGCATGCGTGTGTATGTGTATGTGCGCCTGCTTGTACTTAAGCTGATTTTATAGTGCTAGCCCACTGAGATACCATGCCGCAGTGAAGCATGAATACCCCACTCAGACACGTTATACTGACTCCGAGCCGACCAGTCCTTGTTGTACCCATTAATGCCGAGAGCCAGGCAGGGCCCAACAAGTACCATATTTTAACGTCTTTTGGTATGACGCGGTCGGGATCGAACCCGCGACCTTCCGCTCTCCGGGCAGACGCTCTAACCACTACACCACGGAGGCGGTCACTTTTGGGGCTTAATGTACTGATGATGATGATGATGATGATGTAACAAAATGTATCAACATACAGATTAATAATAATAATGACTATCTTTTTTCTGTTCCAGTGAACCCCACAGCATCTGTCTTGAAAAAAACACCAAACTGGTTGTCATGGCGATTAATCTCAACATCAAGCTGTCTGCGGAGTGCGGAGGAGGCCAGCAATGAGGCTGAGGAGGACTATCACAGCATCATCAAGGACACAGAGAGAGGTCGAGGTGAGTGACGAGGTCATCCCCAGTGCTGTCCCTGACATCCAAGTAGGGACTCTGGAGCATGTACATTCCCAGTGTACCATACTTGTATATGTAAAAGTACTAAAACTCACAATGCAGTTTTATGATTGTATCACAACATGTCTGCTGTATGTGGGAGGAAAGTCCAGAGTGATGCTGTGAGTGAGTGAGTTTAGTTTTACTCCGCAATATTCCAGCTATATGTTGGCGGTCTGTAAAAATCAAGTCTGGACCAGACAATCCAGTGATCAACAGCATGAGCATCGGTCTACGCAATTGGGAACCGATGACATGTGTCAACCAAGTCAGTGAGCCTGACCACCCGATCCAGGGAACACATGAAAGTACAAGTGATCCTTTATTTATTCCAAGATTGAGAGAGTGAGTATGGTTTTACGTCGATTTTTACCAATATTCCTGTAATATCACGCTGGGGGACACCAGAAATGGGATTCACACATTGTACCCATGTGGGGAATCAAACCCTGGTCTTCAGTGTGACGAGCAGACACTTTAACCATTAAGCTACCCCACCACCCCTACTTTTGTTTAAGAGGACAGAAACAAGTATACTCAGTGCCATTATTGAAGGGTCATGTGTCTTTTGCATTTATAGGAATCAATTCCATGTTATGAATATATCAGTATTGAGAAGTCAATACTGTTAAAACCCTGTTGACATAAGGCACCATAGAACACATTAGAAGTTAAAGATATACAGTGTTTCAAAAACATGATCATTTTGATAAATGTTTTGTTTCTGTGAACACTGTCAATGTCTATCGTGGAATGGCAGCATTTTGTCTTGTCATGCGTGAGAAAGTGCGACTTCCCATGCACAGATTTAGGCCATAAATGTCTACTGTAGTCTCACCCTGACATCATGGTTTCTGATTCGAAATGAGACATTTCCTGACGGTAGCGGAGAGGGGTCAAGCAATTGGTCTGATACAAGCTGGTCATAGTCAACGACAAGTTGCAAATCACTTCAGTGTGAGTCAAAGTGTCATTTGGAGACTGTGGCAAAGGTTTCAAGCCACGGGATCGATGGAATATGCGAGAAGACCAGGTCGACCTAGAGTTATCACTGCAAGGCAAAACAGGCACTTGGTTAACGTCACTTTACGTAACCGATTCGTGACCGCCGGTGACCTTCAGACTGAACATGAGAATGTTCATGGTGTCAGGATAAGCATGAACATTAAACGATGCCGATTAAGTGCCAGTGGGCTCCGTTCAAGACGACCAGCAGTCCGTCCACCACTTGTGCAACGTCACAGACATGCACGTTTAGCCTGGAGCAGACGTCACAGTCGTTGGAATCAACGTCAATGGTCGACCGTCCTCTTTACAGATGAAAGCCGGTTTATTTTGTCTTTTAGTGATATCTTCGGAGAATATTCCGCAGAAGAGGTGAACAGTTTACTGATGCTACAGTTGTCACACACAACAGGTTTGGTGGCGGGTCAGTCATGGTTTGGGCCGGTATCATGGCTACAGGAAGAACCCAGCTTCACATTATTGATGGAAATTTGAATGGTCAGCGGTATCAAGATGAAATCTTGACCCCCATTGCTATTCCCTTTTTGCAAGCTATGCATGGATTTTATGGTCGTGATCCTCTTCTACAGGACGATAATGCCAGACCTCACAGAGCCAGGATAGTCACTGATTATCTTCAGCAACAGGGTGTGGAACGGATGGACTGGCCGGCATGTTCACCAGACCTCAATCCCATCGAGCATGCATGGGATGAACTTGGCAGACGAGTTAACAGACGTCACCCTGCTCCACAGTGTCTTCGGAGAGCTCTTGTGCAAGAACAGGAGGCTATTCCACAGGCATTCTTCATGAACTTGATCAGAAGCATGTAACTCTGTCCAGGACCAGAGAGGCGGCTACACAATGTACTGGTTGGTCCTGGACTCCATTGTTGTGACTTTCCGTTTTGGGGGCATCCCTTTGTTTGATGTCCGTGTAGATACAGTCATGATCCTTTTATCACAGCTTAGCACTGAACACTCTCCTCAGTTAATAAACTATCTCTTCGTGCTATAATCTTGTCACAGCATACTTTATTTTGCATTATATTACCTTATAGCTACATGACCCTTCAATAATGGCACTGAGTATACATGTCAGTATATATAGAAGTGTAGTAATCTTGCATTAAACCCACCTCACCTTGTGGCTTGGGTGAGAAATAGATGATCATTATATATTCCTGCCAGGTTTGTTCTCATTCTAAGCTCACATAGACACAAGATTTGATTAGAAAAATATTAAAATAATAACTGTAATAAGTGGAATTTCAACTAAAATTCTGTACCTATCTCATTGATTCCTCACAGGCCAGGACATTGATAAGCATGGGAATCACTTAAAGGTCCTATAAAAACACAGAAAGCTCAGCTTTGCACAAATGCCAGAGTGTAATAACAATAGTTGAAGGAAGGTAGTACAACTAGGATTCGGTTACACTGAAAGGATGTCATGAATAAGTTACTATGACATATTTACGTTTTTGCTGTTCAGTCACCGAGCAAATATACTGATGGAAAGAAATTATAGAACACATGAATATCACCTGCTTTGTATTGCACTATGGGTTTAAATCTGGGAATAGGGCAGTAGGGTAGCCTAGTGGTTAATGTGTTTGCTTCTCACTCTAAAAACCCAGGTTCGATTGCCCACATGGGACAATGTGTGAAGCCCATTTCTGGTGTCCCCTGATTTGATATTGCTGGAATATTGCTAAAAGCAGCGTAAAACCAAACTTACTCACTCACTCACTAAATCTGGGAATAAATAAACACTTGTATTTTCATGTGTCCCCTTATTTGTTTCCATCAGTATATTGTAAAATGCTGTTATTTGCAGAGACTAGAAGACAAAAAGATAGGGTTTGGTGTGGCCAATGATACAATGTATTACAATGTTTGTGTCAGTAGTATTACTGCAGTGATCGTGAGGTCTGAAGATTTCGGGACAGAATTGGTCTCCACTGACCTTTGCTGGGTGTAAGAGGCGACTTAATGGATCAGGTGGTCGGATTTAGTTGATCGTGTGTGTCATTGACGTCCGACAGCATGGATCATTGCTGATAATAACTGGATCGTCGGGTCCAGATTGGCTGCAACCATATAAATTGAACATTGACAGCTGCAGTGTTAAACAAGAAATACACAACATAGTTCGACATTAAAACTGTGATGGGTGGTCTCTGTCTTCAACAATCTTTACTTTCTTATGTCTAACATTTTCAAAAGTCCTGTAAGTTTATAAGAGATACATGTTCTATAATATAATACACTTTGACATTTCAGTAATTAGGAATAGCTGCAGACGTCACCTGATCACAGTTTGTTATTAAATATCTTCTGTGTATGGATTAAGGTCACTTGTTTCTGTAACACAAAGAGATTATTATATACTATTGATTTTAGAAATTTGTTGTCAGATATCTTTTCCAATTGAGTGTTTAGTTGAGTAAGTGAGTGTTTAGGACTATTCCAGCAATATCACAGCAGGGGATACCAGAAATGGGCTTCACACATTGTCCCTATGTGGGGAATCGAAAATCTGGGTCCTCAGCGTGACAAGTGAACGCTTTAACCACTAGGCTACAGAGAGAGTTACACATGAAATGAGTATAACACATACAAGAGTGAAATAATTTCAAGATTACCCAACCTATGAAAATAGTACCATGTGCTTCAGGTCTATGCGTCCAAGCATGGTATAAAAAGCTAAGAAGGACAAACACGTTCTCCTTGCAAATATAGGGATTGTGTATGTGCCGTGATGTGCTTCATTCCAAATCACTTTATAGATGAGATATATTTACATGGATTTTCAAGGGTTTTACAGGTTGATTGGATTATACATAGAACCTGTGAAGATCTGGGCTCCGTTCCTCAAAGCGATCGTAGCGCTACGACAGTCGTAACTCCCATACTTTAACATAGACTTATGACTGTCGTAGCGCTACGATCGCTTTGAGGAACGGGGCCCTGGGTTAGAATTGGTCTTCAGCAACCCATGCTCATTGTAAGAGGCAATGAACGGGATTGGGTGGTCAGACTCGCTGACTTGGCTGATGTGGCTGAGGCATCCTGTAGTAGGTGTGCAGATCGGTGCTCATGATGTCAATCACTTGATTGTCTAGGACAGAATCGATTATAACAGACCACCATCATACAACTGGAATATTGCTGAGTGGACATTAAACAACAACCACAAGTGCAGGGATACAGGTTTATTATAAAAGTCAAATATTATTATTATTATTATTATTATTATTATTATTGCATGATGCTAATGAACCATAGTTAGCTCTGTTGATTAGCGACTAGTTCCAGATGTTATAACTGATTACCTATTGAAAATTTTAGTATGAGTTTATCAATGCTAAATTATTATGACAAGTCATTGTGTCAATTGAAAATAAGATTAAGTATTTTGCATGTGTATAGATAAAAAATTACCTCTGTAAATAAATTTTTTATTCTGAAGATGAAGCAAGCTGATTCATTAATGTTTGAAGTTCAATTTTCTGCCTTCTCATGGCCCATCTTAATCATGATAATCTTAATGGATGTGAACCTTCCCATTGAATTGAATTATATTGATATTAATGTTTCTGGATATTCATAAATTTGTATCTACACTGGAACTTTAAGGTTACAATGAAGATACGATACGTATCTGGTTGATACAGGTGTGATATAATACGTATCCTGATACATTAGTTATATTTTATAAGTTCATATTCTCACCTTTACAGGTGTATCACAGCCTTGAATCATCTCTTTTTAAATTTCAGACAGCTCAGCTGGGATATTAAAGGGTGAAAAACATTATCTTGGGGCACTGTGAAGTTTTTGCTATTTGTGGCCAACCAGGAAATCCTAGAGAATATGCAAAAACTGGTTCTTGAACAAACTGTTTTGAACATTGTGTTATTACTGACTTGTATTTAC